ACGAAAACGCCGTGGTTTCTTCTGTTCTTTCGCACAACTTTCCGCATTAACCTACAAGTGAGTTCATACATAACCCAAAACAGCTCGTTCAGCGCTAGCATCGATGGCGATATATGCGCGCATATAAAAATCTTAGTAAAAATTCAGAAACGAAGAAAAATGGCTCGAATTATTATCGCACTCAATTACGTGAGCCTTTAATTGTGTTTCAGAATAAAAATCACATGTATGGTTTTGTGTAGCAGGTTATGTGCATTGTGTTATATGACAATACGTTTAAGAGCAATGTGCTTACGATTTACACAAAAAAAAAATTACTCGCTGCAGTGGGTCGACATCATTATATGGTATCTATTTTGGGCGACATACTGAACAAAAAAAATTGCTTTACTTTTTACCGCTTTTATTCGCATTTTTGCTGTCCACAATTCAACACCAATGAGAGAGTTAATGCGTAGATTATTAGCATGCGTCTGACCTTTAATTCATAAAATCACTTTTACACAAAGGCCCGCTCTCTCCCTCTCACACATGCACGCACGCACGCACGAACACGCACACAACGGCAAGGTAGAAAAAAAATCAACGCAATTCGCTTTGTAAACTCAATCAATAATAAACAGCCGCTTATAAAACCAAGACAGTAAATTTATGTTGGGAATCTGAGAAATTATTTTAGCCAAATGGATTTTGTTACCTAGATAGAGCTTTGAATATACACATACAGTTGATAGTCAGGCAAAATGCTAGCAGACACAAGTTTATCAATTCAAAACATAACATTGTGTTCGATAGATCATATCAGAGAGCGTAGACATATTTTTCATTTTATTTAAATGAATTGATACATCTGCGGATGTAGTATGTATGCAGATTCAAGAGTTCGTGACCCTGATCTATTAATTGAACTACCAAATGGCTTGAATAGGCATTATGAAAAAAGCCAAATTGGTTTATTGTGCATATCGATCGAACATTTCGGATTTCAATTGTTTTAGCGTGGATATACCAATAATTGGGTGGGCTTTTTCTGGCGCCTTTCCTATGCAAAGAAAACGGACCAAGCGCGAAGAGTAAAATATGCAGAACTATTGCATTTTCTTAGTTGGGAATTATCGTTTTATTAGTGAACAGCCGAATTTTTTTCATCGACATTTTAATAATAAATTCGAGCATCCTGACGCCTATGGGTTATACTACATGACTAAATGATTTTTAGCATTGTTTAGTAACCAGATTTTCTTCAAACAAATGTTCTCATAAGTTTTACTATTCTGATTCATTTTATATGCGAAAATGCGAATATTCGCTAATAAAACGTTAGTATTTGGACAGTTTTTTCTGCCCAGGCATTTATGGGATAAATACGATGCGTTATTATTTAGTGATTGAAGACAGCTTTTCTTTATGGTTCAATACATGTCCTGTATATTTTTTAAATACAATTATCGTGAGATTCAAGATACGTCTTATTGCTGTTTCTATTTAAATTTGCTTTTTTTTAAATATGCGTTTTCATTCTTCATGAAAATCATAATTATAACGCCATTCTTCAGGAATATTTGAAAACTTAAATTTGAATGTGCTATAGTATATTACAAAATCAAAGCTTTGTTAATGATAACCACACTGGCAATCATTTTACTTTTCCGTACACAACGTGTCAAGGGAAAGTATAGGAATTGGTCCCGAAAACTTTTTTCGCAAAATTGGTTTAGATCATCATAAAAACTCATGAAACGCGTAGAAAATCACTTTTTGAGACACTTTTCCGTTCGTGTGCCGTCGTCGTCGTTGTCGTTGTCGTCGTCGTAGCTGTTTGTAAACACGATAACTCAAAAAATAATTGGGATAGTCAAAATCTGGAAATGCCAAAAGTTTTGTGTCCCTAAAACTTAGTTTAAGTTCGAAGAAGAGCCATTTTCGATTTGATCCAGGGGTACTTGCCCTAAGAAAAACCTCAAAAAATTGACACTTTTGTATGAGAGGTACCCGTCAATCGACTTCGATTGGCTTCAAACTTTCTGGGATTTCATTTTTCGGAAGAAAAATAAGATTCTGAAATTTTGAAACCAATCGGAATCGATTTACGGGTACCTCCCATACAAATTTTTCGAAATTTCGACTAAAATTACCGATTTTTGGACAATTTTGTATGGGAGGTACCCGTTAATCGATTCTGATTGGCTTTAAACTTTCTGTGGTTTCATTTTTTGGAAAAAAAATAAGATTCTGAAAGTTTCATGTTGATCGAATTTGCAGAAGTTTGATTTTTTGTCCTCAATTTTTGTCGACATTTTTTTGGAAAAAAATTAAGGGACAAAAACCAAACTTCTGCAAATGCGATCAACATGAAACTTTCAGAATCTTATTTTTTCTCCAAAAAATGAACCCTCAGAAAGTTTAAAGCCAATAAGAATCGGTTTACGGGTACCTCTCATACAAAATTGTCGAAGTTTTAGTTAAAGTGACCGATTTTTCACTTTATTTTCATTATTATATTTTCACTGCCTTTATTTCAAGAAAATTCACAAAAAATAACCAAAAGTACCTACGAACAACGCAGGCCAACGGTACGGAAAAGTTCGGGATTACCAATGTAATTCTTTTTATTAATGCGTAGAAATCGATCGACTGTCGAAGGAAATGTGATGGCAATTGAACAATTTATTTGTAACACAAGTGAACGCTCGAGCAGTATCTTGGTCAATACCAATCAATTAATGATTATACATGTATTGCATACCCCACTACAAAGAAAAAAAAACATACATTTTCAATTCATTGTCGGTTTCATATTTGCTCGTTTCATTTCGCCTACAAAATGCAATGCATACCGCACTATTCGTTTGGATGATCGCTTCGTAGGTAATTTTTCTGAATTAGAACATAAGATCAATCATACTCGTGCTGGAATACGAACGTTTAATTATGTAATATTATTTGACGTGTGATCAATATTTATGTATTACGATTTTGGATGACTGTAGCAGGTTCATTTCCTGGTGTCAGTTTCGTACTTGCCTGACATGTTAATGTGTTCAGAACTAACAAACGGAAACACATGCGAGATATTTTCGATCGCGAAAAGAAAACGGGAAATTTATATATATATATATCATTTGTTGCAATTGCCGCCCCTTTTTACGGCTTTACATCATTCGGCTGAGATAGAGAATTGGCCATTTTGCAACTAACATCTCTTCACATTTAAATGAATTCGGTTGAGTCTGCGTGCGCCTCTCAAATCAATCAACATGCCATTTGGTTTTGTTTTCAAAATCATAATTGCCCCCTTGTGGCCGGTGTCCAATGAATCAAAACTTCGAAAACATCAGCCGAAATGTAGGTCAAAATGTGTTGTCGCTTTGGTTAAACAATCATTTGAAGTAGCAAACCGCGTGTGTTGATATGATACCACTGTGGTAATTTGCGTACGTGTGCTAATTTTACGTTTGACGTATTAATTAATTTGTTTGAATCGGTCGGTCATCACGTATGGCTCACACAGTCTGTGGTCTTCATTCATCAACTTTACGCACTCCATAAACAATTCACATTCTCGTTGACGACCTGCCTCACGACGAAGCCACTGACAAACAAACAAACTGCGCAAACAATAACAGCGACCGCCTTCGAAATGCTCTCATTGTTGCCTAAGACGCGCTGCGTTTAATAAGCCATTTATCGCATATAATAAATATTCGCGCAACGTAAACGCTGTTTTGTTTTTACACTGAATACGATCATATGTGCAGCTGGTCAAACCAACAAATGTTATATATAGATATACGTATATATTTATATATATTATTATTATATATATGGCAAAGAAGAAATACAAAAAATACCGTTCGACGTCTCGATTTTGCTTCCCTTTCTTCCTCACGTCTGGCTATTGTTTAGCTCTTTTCAACCTGGCATAAGCCGTCTGGCTTGTATCAAATGTTGTTATTTTTCGGAGATTTGTCGAAATTATTAGCCGTGCTGTGTGTACCAAGCGCACCGCATTTAAATTTGAATATTGAACAATATGCCATGGAAGACGGTGTAATGTATGCGTGTTTTTGTTCACCTGACCATGAAATATACGAACTAAATGCCAACGGGGAAAAGCAAAGCAAACTCAAAACTCAAAACTAAAACTGTAGAAGTGGAGAAAATCTTCAGTAAATTAGATATTTTTCGGTAATGTACGTTGTTTTGTTATGCGAACAATTCATTTATAATATTGCATTTTATATCCATTTTATTTAGTGGTCCGTTAAAAACGTTAACTAGTCATTAGTTTGTATGCATCGGCCGGGATGTGAATGCTGTGCGTGAAATAAAATTTACACACACACACACATGTGTATTTACAACCACATCAATTAATCAAAACGTTCGCGCACGAAAACCATTATAACATTATATCTATACCGCAATGGTATTCTTGAATGATGTTTTCACATCCTTTTTTCTCGATAGCTCCATTTCTGGCCTAATATTTGTTTTTCGATTGGCACTAGTAAATTTGGCCGCTATTTTTAGGTTATCATGGAAAACCCTATGAAAACCATACGATTTACCGCAGTTTAGTCATCAGCTAGATCAAACTCGTAAAATTATGAAGTACGATGTAAAAGCCGTGAAACTGGAGCAAATGAAATCTTTTGGATAAATAATATCGAGCCATTGAATTACATAATTTTATGAGCAGAAAATTGTTTCCAATATTTGTAACACGCGCATTTTTTTACCCTCAAATTTTGTGTGCTAGATTTTTTGTAAAACGGTTCATTAGTATTGAACGATAAATGTGGTGATTTAGCCTTTCATCAACACACCAGTTTTGGGTTTTTGGAAGTTAACAAACCTTTCAATCAATTTAGTTGAAAATTGTACATACATGTCACGAACTTGCTCAATATACGAAAAGAGCAAGCAAAAATAGAGCGACCGATTGAAAAAAAAAATTGAATTGGTATGAAGAGTGTTAAAAGAAATCGATATCTTACCTTAGCCTTTTGTTGTTGTTGTTCGAACACAATAGAAAAAAAATATCTTCTAATTCGGGGAGAGGCCGTTGACTAATAAACTTTCAGTAAATAATCGGCTTTGTTATCATTCACACACGCTGCTTCGAAGGCTCGGATTGTCTTCTGGCACCCGGGAAATTCAATAAGAGTGACGATAATTGATTTTGGTACTTTGTTGTATGATTTTGCGGTAGATTTGGTATCGTTCCGAAAAATTTATCGATGAACTTTCACTCAGTTGTGAATCTCGATTGACAGCTCAGTTTATAGCGTTTCCGAAAGATTTGTTGATTTCTGCGTTTCGTTCGACTCTGAATCGAACTCTCTGCTTATTGGCTGCTCGTTCGTATAGGCAACAATTTCTCGGTTTTCGTCACCAGGTTTATTGCCAGTGCTGGATTTTTGATGTTCATTCACTACGTACGCTTTTATGTTGCTGCGAGGTTTTGTCGCGTTTACTATCAGACATGCCTGTGCCGATTAACACGCCGTCGTGTGTAAGTGTGTCGACTCCACCGAATTGGCAAACTTTCGATGATTATGAATTATGATTAGGTATTATTTATTGGCCTTTTTTTATTTTTTACCGAGTTAATTTTTATTTTACTTTATTTTGTCTTCCCTTTTGAATACTTTGTGTACATTCGGTATACGGTTGTTCGCTGGTACTAGGGCTTCTTATTGAAATATGTGTGCTTTTATTATTATTGTTGTTATTATTCGAACTTTAGATAATTCGTAGCTTCTTTCACTTCTTCGGTCGCGGTTGATTACTTCCAGTGAAAAAAAAGTCTTTTAGGTGAGCGAAACACTCAATTTTACTTGCTGCTATCAATAATAGAAAAATGAAATGTTTGGTGAAATTTGGTGTGTGTGTGTGTTGGTTTTTTTCTCGCTCAAAAATCGACGATGAGAAGCGCGAAGAAGATCTCAGACAATCAATCAAGTTGTAATTTTCTTCTGACTTTTTGATTGGTGCAATACACTCACACGTGATTTTGTTTTTCTTTCTTATTTGCTTTCGTTCGTTCGTTCGTTCGTTTGTTCAGTTTGCCTTTTTCCATACAATTTCAAATTCAATTTTCGTTCACTGCATTGGAGCTGGCGCAACTGAATAAAAGCAACAACAAAAATTTCACTTGCACTTTTACTGTGTACCGTTTGCAGTTCACACTCTTACACTTTTCCTAATAATCAAATTGTTTCAATTGCACTCACTTATTCCAACAACGGTTGTGTGTAAAATGGGCCTCTTTCTTTATGCGCTGCTTTTTCGATGCTTTTCTGTCAGTTTTCTTACCGCATATGCACCCGAATGCCGTTAATTTTCGTGCACGTTTTTCTATTTTGATTGTTTAATTCTGGTTGCATTTATAGCTTGTGCAGTACGAACTTATTTTCGAATCGTATCGTATCGTTGTTCACCGCAAATGCTTTTGTTCGCTTAAGACAATGGTTTCTGCATACGGCGGTGAATACTCGAGATGCCACTGCGGCTGTTGAGAATCTTCTCTGTTTGTGTCTTTGACTAAGGCGGACAAATTATTTTATTAATATTTATCATTTGTTGCTCTTTTTGTTGCTGTGGATGTCGATTCATTCGCAATTGCAAGGTGTTTCATTTGATAACATGTCGTCCGATGTTGTAAAATATGGCTGAAAAATATCTCATAAACCGCTAATAGTTTGCAATTCGACTTGAGTGAATTGAATGGCTGACCGTTTTGGAGCTGTTTTTTTGCAGTTTTTGCGTGATCGGCTGGCGTTGGATACTCACAACTTTTATTAAATATAAACCAGTATTGATTGAACGCAGTTTTTTTTTCTCTTCCTCTATATTGGTCTGAAATGCAGTTTTTATCGATGTTAATGATTGTATCGTGCTTGTGTCTGTTCGCATGCAACAAATACGGTCAGATCGCTCAAACAAGAAAATTGTATTTCTTATTTCCTTTTGACAGTGTTTTTTCTTTCTTCTTCTGTACTTTTGATCTCGTTTCGTATTATTCGGTTGCTTGTTGAATAATATCTAATTAAATGTTTTGTGCCGTTTTGGTTGTCGATGTGATGTCGATGTGATGTCAATGTGTTGGCCTTAAGCAGCACTAGAACTTCTTTTATGTATCTGCTTCGATTGATCTTATGCGGAGAATTAACACTTTGAAATACACCCTTTTGTACCGAGCAAAATTACATTGGCTTTACTCACAGACGAAGCGGATCTCATCAAAAGAAACCAAAATTAATGAATGGCACTTTTGAATCGCTTATGTAACTCTGGTTGTATGTTGTTGATTTTTGTTGGAAATTTTGTAGCAATATTTATGCGGAAAACCAAACTTGCTGTTGTGGTCTTTGACACATACGAATCGCTTGACGGTGTCGATGAAAAGTACATTTAAGAAATACTCCCACAGGTTTTGCCGTTCGGTTGGAACAAAAGAAATTTATTTCAACAACAAAAATCCGTCTGTTTCGATTATTTTCTTTTCTCTTTTGGTTTTATCCTCCGATAACTTCCTTCTAGATGGGATCAGCAGTTGTGTTACCTAAATCGTAATATATTCACCCGTGTGAAATGTAGTTTTCGATTGATGGCGAAATTTTCGATTGATAACTTGGAAATTCGTTGGATTTTCCGATGTCTACTTGTCGATGATTGATCTTATTTTCGGGTGACTAATTTGTTGATGGATTTTGGTAAAGATTTTGCAATAGAAATTCAAACGAAGAAAAACCAAATTCGAATAGGCACAAATTTCGATTGTAAACTAAGAATTACGAGAGAGAGAGAGAAAATGTGGTAAGAATCGATGAAACACAGTAGAAGTGTTATTGATACAGGCTGCGAAATGTGTTTTGGATATTTCTTTTCAGTTGTACAAGCAAATGAAAAACACATGCGCACTCGGCCGTGTTCACGATCAAACTGAAACCGTAATATCAACCGGGGAAGGTCGTTCATTCCTACCAATTCACTGCTTTTCAATTTCGTCAAGCAGTAAGACACAAGCATACGACGCTTGTTGCCGCACGCTCTTTCAGCTGCTCGTCATGCTTTGTACTACGAACGACTGTGTCGACTACACAGCTAAGGCAGAGCAATAAAGCTAAACAAAACAAAACCGAAAGTGTATACAGTTGGAGCCAATGCGTTTATTGTATCAAAAATTTGCTTAGCGGGTGCGCGCGCGCCTTGGTGCCATTCTCTCTATCTTTTTTTTCTGCTCGTTGCGTTTATTTCTTTGTCTTTCCCACATGCTGAACACGCAAACAAGTTTGATTATTGCTTATCTACGAATTAATTTATGCAAGCTGCTATTCGCGTCGCTGTCGCTATCGCTGTTGCGGCTAAAATGCTAGCGATCCCCAGTTTGTAGCTGATTGGCGTTCTGATTTAAATCTCGCATATGACATTTACATTCATCATTGAATATGGACGCAGCCGCTTCTCAAGACCATTTTTTTTTGTTCATACTTTTCTTTTCATTCTATATTCTCTTTCTGTTCCTTTTTTTTATCTAATCTATTACCTTTTGGTAAAATTTCTTAATCCATACCTTAGGAGTCTTATGTTTTTCCCTTAATTGAAACCGATTTGCACATTTGAACTAGTTTTTTTTTATATGGAAGTTCGAAATTTACGTAAGCAAATATCGCATTTGAAAATGGCAGACTTTCTTAGCTCAGACAGTTTATGTGTCATACCGATATTGTCTCTAAAAAAAATACGCATTTCAAGGATCATCTGTAACCGCATCCATTTCAAACACAAATCTACGGAATTTAATTTTCACCATTTTTATTTCACCATCCGAATGAAACTTGAATGATGATGAATCACATTAAAGATGTGTGTGTGTGTATGTTTTGTGTTAATAAGCGATAATGAGGTGGTATTCAAACGTTACTTGGGCGCCGAATGTGATGAGTGATTTCATGAAAACATGGGGAAAGTTCAAGCATCAGAATATAAGTACATTTTTATGAATCGAATGCGTCAAAGCTGGATCGTTTGAATCATTCATTTGAAAGCAAAATCTTAGTGATCTTTGAATGTTAATATTCAGAAACAATAAATATATCGGAATGAATCAGATTTTTCTGGTTTTCAAGAGTATCGCTCGGCATTAGAAGAAATATGAGAACAAAAATTGGGTGGAAGTTTGTCACCGTGGCCTGGCTTGCTTTCATACAACAGTGAAAAAGAAGTTTGTGGTCGTAGAAAATGCGTCAGAGTCCTATGGTACGTGTACAGAAACAACTGACATTTAAATTAATGTATCAAATATTTGGTAGAGAGCATGCGTTACAGTCAACAGTCAATATCTCATCTTTGACTTCATCACTATCCGTTCAGGTGAAGAATTAACTTCGTTCAACATAAATACTGGGCTTCGGCTATCGTATAATCATTGCGAATGTGCAATGTGACATTGTGAATTGTTTCGAAACAACATAAATATAATTTCAATCTTTTCGCGTGTTCGCACACTATCTTATCCCATACGGCTCTTTATTTAAATTCACAAAGACATTTGAAATTGCCATAGGTCCAATCCAATTTAACGAAACGCTTGTTCGTTTTCCGTCTGTCTCTACATCTGCCGGTGCTTGGGTCTTCAATGCGCATAAAATATAGACACCACTGCCAAAAAAAGAAAAAACTTTGACATTTTTAAAATAGTTCAATCTTCTATTTGGGATTGTGAGTGTCGGAGGCGAGAAAATATCATGATGGCAGATTAACATAATGCACTAAAATATCGTCTTGCTACATATATGCCTATTGCCTTGCAGATACTTCACTTCGCTGCGTATTTTGAAATTGAGAGACAGTACAGGGCACAGAGACACATACAAATAATCGAAAATCAGTAGATGAATTCGCTACATGAATATCGATATCGAATTGTTTGCATTCCGTCTATTTCACCAATCTCGTTCGCATAGGCAGCATTCAAACATTTGCCAATCTTGATCAAACTCAAGTACACCCCCGTCAATAAATATCAACATAACAACAATTTCTTTACAGCGCCAAATAAAAAATAGTATCAATGGATTCGCCGAACAGAACGCAGATTTGAGTGTAGTGAAACGAATAATATATCAGAAAAGGTAAGCCAACAACAACAACACCACCCGAAATGGAGTACACGGTCAGCGCAGCCATACTTCTCTCGATATAAATCAGCAACCCACTCTCTCAAACATTTTGACATTTTCAATTTGATTAGCTTCGATTACTGGCACTTTCTTGAAGAAAGAATTAAATGGAAACAATCCATTATTGCAGGAAAAAACCTCCCGAAAGGCGACATCTTCCATTGAAATTAATTCTATGGTACATAGAATAGAACTTAAGTAATTGATTTGAAAGTACTTTGTGTAAATTGTGAACAACAAATTGAACTATCCGCAATTGTTATGTCTGCCCATTTCAACGATCATTGACCGACGATCATGACTTAAATGGTTTTCTTTCTGCGCGTGCAGAATAGTCAATTTTGAACGTTTTAGCACTCTTCACAAGATAAACGTATAGTAGTATTATTTGGAGAAATGTGAAATACAATATCTCCAGGAATTTGATAGTGAGCATCAGCAGCTCCGTATAATTTATCATCAATTAGTTGATCAATTTTATGTACTTAGTAATTCATGTATTCATTTTGCTTTCATGTCCAACACTAGTATCCAAATATTCCACTGTATTCCATACATTTTTTAAGTCAGTTGAAACATTGCAATATTCCAAGCATGACAAACAATTTTACAGATGACTCGACCAAAAAGTGTATGCTCAATAAAAGTGTAAGGAACTCTCGACATAGACAATCAATATATCGAAAAATATACAGTACTAGTGTAGTGGGATGTGCCCTACATCCGTACTGAACATTTAAAATCATTTCAAATATGACGCAGCAATTCCATTGCGAAAGCAGTCGCTTTATTTCAACTTGGAAAAATAGTCAAAACAGTACCTTGAACTTCTTTTTTGGTTGGATAGTAAGTGTGTGAATAAAAAAATGACGATGACTCTTAATGGTTGTTTGTAGGTATGTTTCTGACGTGCAAGAGTTATATATATATAATGAAATATTCAATGTGCATATCCACAAATGAAGAGCAAAATGGTACTCCCTGGAGTTCATTTAGAAGAAACTGAAAGAAAAGTAAGAAAAACCATGTGAAGCCCTCCTTCTTCGTGAATATTTTTAGTCCATCGATCTATCAAATGATGACACATTGAATCATTGAAAATTGAATCGTGGAGACTCAGATGCACATATTTTCGGTGCATTTACTACATCATACTTATACATTTTGTGGATATTACAAGAGACAATCCACCGTTTGGATATAAAGATTGAGAACTGTGACCGCACCGTACTTCCGATTCAAAATGAATACCGCACTTAATGACAACGTGAGAAATCCATTTGTTTCCTTCGGTAAAACCAACTACGTTTGTTCCGGTTCTTTTTCACTCGTCAGAGAAAAATACAGGCATAGAACGCAAATACAATGAAAGCACTCATAATATTGAACACTAAATTCAACGTACTATTAAGTGAATGCGAACATGTTAATTCAAAATAAATAACACACTTCGAACGTGTTTATTTTTATTTTTTCAAACGCTTCTTTCGGGTCACTTTTTTCACATTTGTTCTGGTCAATTTCTCCATATTCAATTTTCTCGTCTATTAAGCCTCAATTTTCACAGTAATTCACACCTTGAATTTAACACCGCATTGAAAATCGTTAAACGCCACACTTGTTTCTCACACACCATTAACTGTTTGGCGTAAAGTGCTTGATTGGAATAAAGGTTTGATAGCAGCCCATGCGTACATATCATGGAAAAAGATCAAACTATTTGCAAATAGGCAGGTTCATTTTTAATGCAGATATGGAGATTGCATATTTGGATTGTGCATCCAAGCATTTTTCGCATTTTATTTTTCCAGCAAATGAAACAAAAGTACACAAAATCTACTTGAATGAATTATAAATGAATTAATAAATGGATGAACGTCAGTTTTATGCCAATTGGCAAATGATATTTAATAGTTTTAGCAGTTGTCGGCAAAAATACCTATTGTAAACGTACGTTTTATTCTATGAAAAAAAAAATGAAGGTGGTCACTTTGAATTCAATAAACGAATAATTCACCGAAAGATTAGATCGAATTTGCATTTGGGATTCTTTTGAAAATATTCAAACCTATGCCCGAATTGGATCATGCATTAGCTCCGATCGAAGACGGTTCATGTAACAATGTACTACATTATTTTTACCAAATACTTTGAATGAAAGCGATACGTTGAAGCAAAAAAAGTGTACGAATCATATGCAAAATCTTATCGACCACTCAAAATATCAAATAAGAATAAATTTTTTTATTAAATCGTTTGCTATTTACGTCATCAAATCGATATATTATGCAAATTTGACTGAGAACGCACAGGTCCACTATAACCGAGAACAAGTACATGTGGCTGTGTGCTGTCTTGTTCGCGTTTTAGCTCACGCATTTGTCAATGTGTTTCGATTCGCTGGACTTTATTCTTGCTCGATATTTATGCACGCACTATTTTTGCTTTAGACTAAATAGAAAATTTGTGGAGCGGTTCGTGTGCAATTATTTTGGTATAAGTAGAAGAAAAAAACGGAGCACCAACAGCTTTCGGCCCGATCTAATTAACGTTTAATGCGATATGTTGAAAATAACCATTAAATTGGAAATACCGGTTTGGGATATTGAAACAAGATTTTTCTATTTTCGAGTGCTGTAAATCAATAATTAAGTTTTAATTACAATTTTTTTTTACATTCAGATTCTTTACTTACAGGTTTACTTCCACACATTAAGCTCAATCCGATTTATTGAAAATCCGCTGCATCTCAACAGTTGGTTATGA